GTTCTTGATGGCCTCGCTGTACACGATGAAGGCCAGACCCGTCCCCTCCACCGCCTGGAGCCGACGCGGGACAGAGAAGAACAGGCCACGTTCACATTGCTTTTGGTTTGCAAAGTAGAGCGGATGAGATCTTCACTTAGCACACGGGTCTTGTAGCTACGTTACATTTTGACCACTGGGACGAATCGGTTGGTTAGTTTGTTAAGTGAATATACATATTTAGGATTTAATACCAGTCTTTCCATCACAGTGGTTGCGGTTTTTAAACACACAACTTGCCATAAGCACAAAATGTTTTCAGAGTAAAGGATATGTACAAATGACTTGATGATTTGAAGCAGAGGGGTACGTACGGTGTCTAGTTCGTTCTCCAGGTCGCAGCCTTCCAGTTTGTGGGCAATTGCAGCAAACTGCTCTGGGAATGTTGTGTTCAGCCTCTCGATCCACTCAAAGACGCTGTCTATATTGATGCTGTCCTCTGCAAGATCAAACGTATTCAGCAGTAGTAAACGAGTCCTGGAAGAGGGAAAAAAGGCTGTTACATGACGAGTCATGTCATCTCACAGTGCCCAGAACCTCCAATTGGCGCTTTATTTGGCGGGAGGGGGGGGGCAGGCTGCCTTTATAGCAAACGTGTTTGGGTTCGTACACATTAACACAGCAGCTGCTCAAAAGAAGAGAATGACCATTTCCCTCGAGTGACCCAGCAGGAGCACAAGAGTTGGACCTCAGAACTCAGCCCCTTCCACAGGTTTATTGTGAGGAGCCGCCTTGGAAGGAAGTCCACGGCCAAAACCAGACCCTTATTCTATTAGGTGTCCAAGCACAGCTCAAAGCTCCTCTGGAACTTGAGCAAGGCACTCCACATCTTTAACACCTCATCCAGAAGAACCCGTTCTCTCTGGCATACAACGAACCCACATACATAAGAAAAATATGAATTTTAATTGCATCAATAAAAAATTGAAAAAAAATGAAAAACTAAAAAAGAAACCATTAGATGAACTCAAGCTACAGTTTACACACACGCGCGCGCACACAGTTAAGGGGCACACATGCACACAGTTGGAAGCGTGAACTGGCACATGCAAGTCAGCTAAACACACACCCACAGACACACGCACACACCTGTCCAAGCAGTTCTCGTAGTTGACGGTGGCCTTGAACCCGTAGATGGCGAAGGTGACAATGCTGGCGAAGATGGAGGTCCCGCAGTTGATGAGGGAAACAATGACGGCTTGGCGCTCAAAGTTGTTGTGGTACTGGTTGTAGCTGGCAAACGCTATGAGCGTCCCGAAGCCCAGGCCCAGCGAGAAGAAGATCTGAGTGGCCGCGTTGATCCACGTGGTGGGGTTGGCGAGCTGTTCCAACTGAAAGCAGACAGACGCACAGACGAGCTCAGCTGCAACCACACACATACAAATACGGGGGCAAAACGTCTCACAACTGTCACAAAGCACAACACAGCCGTACCTTTGGTGTGAACATGTATGCAACACCGTTGACGGCACCATGGAGAGTGAAGCCCCGAACAAGGTAAATAAAGAGGACCACGTATGGAAATAAGGCTGTGAAATACACCACCTACGGATGGAGACAAACATTTAGGGTCAGAGTTCAAATGTGGTGGTGAATACGTTGGAAAAAGAGGAGGCTTTTGGACACCGTCATCATATACCCCACTATTACCCCTCAATATACCGTATGCTACACAATTGTTTAAAGTGCAATTTCAGTTTGGTCCAGTTTGGTTTGCATGTTTAACAATTGTCATTTCCTTTTATTGTTTCTGATTGCATGGGCAAAGATCATTCATATGGCCGAAAACATATCTATGAACAGGCAGCTGATGCTGTCCAGATCGGGGACGAGCACCCAATTTGGTGTAGTACGAATGGGTTTGTTTGGGTTTTTATCATTGGATGAATTCATTTTTCCAATATCGTAAAGGTTCTCAGTCACAATTGGCTTACTAGATCTGAACCACGCACAAAAAGAAATACCTCTCAGTGTTTATGCTTTCAATATTCCCAATCGGAGGGACCTACAGGACTCTTACCTTTCCCGTTGACTTCACTCCTCGCACAATGAACAGGTAGGTAAGCACCCAGGCCAGCACGAGGCACATTGCCTGGCCTGTATGAATGCCTCCGTTCTCCTCAATTGAAGGAGAGATGTTCAGGGTCTCCCTGTAGAAGAAGTACTGGGTGGGTGTACCCTTCTCACACTCCTCTAACGGTCCCGTCTGATTGGAGTTGAGGGGGCACTCTGCCCAGGGCAGGACCGACTGAGATGGGAGAGAACAGAGAACAGTATAGGAACGTTAGCTTACTGCCCAAGCTCTATACAAAAGTTTAAATATATGTATGTATAGTATTGGCTACTGACATCATTTACAGAAGTTTGTTAGTTAGCAGCTCACTTGAAATGAATGAAAGAGGTACCAGAAGCTCCATGCATTGATGACGTTGTAATAGAGACACAGATACAGGGACGTCACAACACTAGCGAAACCTAAACCGAGAAAATCATACAAGAAAAATCTCAAATCATGAAAAAGGACAACACTTTTTCGACATTTCACTTTTTCCACAAGCACCAATTAACCAGTAAGTCTTCCATGTCAGTTACAAGCTCTGTGTCCAAATGCAATGAGCGACGCCCGCAAAGGTCTAATTGCCAGAATTGTGTCGAAAAGTAATGCCTCAAATATTGTGTGAAGCATTCCGTCGTCTTTTCTGTCCTATGAGAGACGGTTCGACGTGTTGGCTTTTCACCACTGCCAATCCAACAGGCTGTTCTCCATCAGACAGGCGGGGGCGCTGCCCCATCAGCCCCGTGTCTGAATGCAGTGGTTTCTGTCCCAAAACCTGCATCGGTCAGTCAGCACAGGAACTTACCTACTCCCCCCAAGTACGGGCTGATGGCCGTCCACGCCCCGATGCTGCCCAGGCTCATCTTCTGACCAATGGCAAGCTCCAAGTAGAATAAGGGGATACCCTCCAGAACCAGCATGATCAAATATGGAATCAAGAAGCCCCCTGAAGGAGTAAATAGAGAACTGTAGTGAAAAAACAGTAGAACATCAACAGAAGTCCACGTTAAGCCTCTGACAAATTCCATTTTTTGTTGTTGTATAAAAACCAACTCAAGGATAAACCAATTTGTTTTTTAGAGGTCAAAGGTCAATGTGATCTCATGTCTGTCCCATACTTGTGATATCTCGGGAGCGCTCTGACCGGATCTCTTCATACTTACCACAAATGTGCATTTGCGGTCTCTTCGACCTCACAAGGAAAGTCCTTGGACATAACTCAAGAATTTCGATTAAAATCTTTTTTTAGAGCAACCAGCAGGAAATTTGGGCCATTTCTACAGACTTCAAGTTCATGAGAATTGATATAATCAAAAGCTTGAAACCAAAGCCCTACAGCATTATTTACATAATTTGTTTTTTTGCTAGTAAACGAAAAAAAAGATTATTTATTTGGCTTTTAACAGGGTCTCCCTTAAATCTAAACCAATGCACCCGATCAAAGCCTAATGGAAATAAGGCATCATATTCACTATAAATGATGTTGGGTAAGTAAAAACAGTAGACGTGTTTTTATTGTTTAGTGATCCGTGACTGGGTCCCAATAAAAACATCCTCCACAATCATCCCATGATAACACGGTATCTCAACACACATGAAGGACCCGTCTGATAAGACTATCTGGCAACGCCCCGGTTTATTCTTACCTAATGCTACTGGTTTATCCCAACCGCCCCGCAGGAGGCATAGGGGGAACCATCACGGCACTGATCCTCATTCATACAGAAATGTTACATATAGATAGTTTCTGTTACCTACGGGTGCTGTGGACTGTATCCACGGTAACATCAGTACATGTGTTTTCCCTCTCTGTAACTTTGCTGCAGCCGAGCACAGCTACTGAACTGCTGCTTGTACTCTTTGCTCAACACAGCAATACAGGAGTGATTTGGACCAAATAGTGCCTTAATGACACAAAGACACATTTAAAAGGAACACGGCAGAGCGTGGGCCGATGATATCATCACACGCAGCGAAATATCCAACCTTTAACTCAAGGAGTGGACCAGCTTGTAGGTATTGCATTTTAAGATATTATAACATAGTTGTAATAATCTGCTGCACTGCACAGCGATGCATTGACAAATGTTGTATTCATAAAGTAGATATAGATAATAGAAATCAAATTGTAAATGTGTGTCGTTCATGTGTTTATCTTCGTCGTCTTCCTGTCCTTTAGCTCTGGTGCTACAGCAGCAGTAAAGTGTAAAGTCTGGACATAAGCTACATCTACTCATCGTGGTTCTACCCGTTTATGACCTGCAACAAGTCATTCACAGTAAGTCATAGTGGAACCCTTTGATTACACAGAGACACCTGCTAAGACTCACGTCACACTCAATAAACCACTGAATAAAATCATCCAGAGTGCCAGAAAAATCTTTATTTTTCATTTACAAAACATTAAGCAGAAATACCCTTGTGTTGAAACGAGCACAAGCAAACAACGTGGACCATAAATGGACCAAACACACTGTGCGCTGAGACACGGGCAGAATGCAGATGGAAGCTTAGACGCTCTTTACTTGCGTTGCTCCGCTGCTAAGCACATTCCTGGCTGACATTATTCAGTGGGGGGCCCACGCCGTGTGAGGGGCCCCCGGGCCGGGGCCAGTGACTTACCTCCACCGTGCATTTGACAGAGGTACGGAAAGCGCCACACGTTTCCCAGTCCCACGCGTACGACACGCATGCCAGGATGAACTGGACCGGGTTGTCCAGTTGGGTCTGGCTTCTTTCCCCATCTTCTGCGTCCTGAGAGCGCGTCCAGACTGCAGGTGGAGCGTGCCGCGGCGTGCGTGTGTGTGTGTGTGTGTGTCTGCAGCGGAGCCAGGTGAGAGGAGGGCAATAAAAACAGAGTGGATCACTGTGTGCGTGGGAGCTGCGCGCCGCCGCTCTTATAAGC